AGAAGGGTCTGTGCAACTTTGTATCTTGAATCCATGACCAGATGGACTCAGAGATGCTTTCAGGATAACTAGAGGTTCTTTAGAGTGAACTTTAGGGTTTTTATTGTAACATTAAAAAATAGAAAGAAACAAGAATTACAAAGAACTAGACAGAAATCATACTGTGATAAGAGGTACAGTTACTGACTTCCTCCTTGCCAGGTACCATACTAAATACTTCAAACATTCTTCAACAAATTATGAGCTGGGTGTGATGTTCAATGCTTATCATGCCAGAATGCAGGAAGCAGAGACAGGAGGATTGCCACAAATTCAGTGCCAGCCTAAGTTACATAGTAGGACCTGCCAGTCTCCGGGTTGGGGGAGAGTCTGTTAATTACAGTGTTCTTTTAGAAGAAGAAACAAGTTTGGAGAGTACAAATGTAATGTCCAAGCATTTGTAGGCTGGACAATTGGTGGAGACCAATGGAAATCATATGTTCAGATTTGCAACAGTGACTTGAATGTGGTAATCTTCGTGGCTGAGTATGCAATTCAGAAGGGAGATCTTACCTATAGATATAAATTGGAAGATCATAAGCAGGTTGTTGATTCATAAGGTCCTGGTACTGAATGATTCATCTAGAATATGAGTGTAAATAAGGAAGAGGGAAAAAGTCATGGACTAGTCAAACCAGCCCAAATTTTAGACTTAGGGAGCTTCACTGAAGAAGACAGTAGCAGTCAGATTGGAGAGAATCTGGGAAGGAAAAATACAGGTAAAGTGTCTAAAACGACTAAATTGAGTAGTGGGGACTCAGCATTGAATTAAGCACTATCAAAATAATCTGAATGACAAAAGATTTAGAGACAACAGTCTCAGAAGGAGCTTTTCTAAAAAACAATACAAAAACAAAAAATAGAGTAGTCATTGAGAAACCACTTATTTTTATTTTTACCAAGCAGAAATTATGGCAAGTCTGAGCTAACAGGGCTGATTCAACAGAGAAGGGGTTATATGATGGTGTGGTGATTTGAATAGGAATAATCCCCATGGACTCACATGTTTGAATCCTTGTCACATAAGGAATAGCACTATTAGGAGGTGTGGCTTTGTGGGGGTAGCTGCGCCCTTGTTGGAAGAAGTGTGTCACTGTAGGGGCCCCCACTTTGAGGTCTTATGTGCTCAAGCTACACCCAGTGTGGCACAGAATCCCCTGATGCTGCTGCTTGCAGATTAAGATGTAGAACTCTCAGCTACTTCTCCAGCACCATGTCTGCCTGCACACCACCATGTCCCACCTTGATGACAATGGACTAAACCTTAGAAACTATAACAGTCCAATTAAATGTTTTCCTTTATAAAAGTTGCCATGGTCATGTTGTCTTTTCACAGCAACAGAAACCCTTCCTAAAACAGATGGAAAGAATGAGGCTGAAGTGATGTCCTAGAAAGAAACTAAGGAGCAAGGTCTAATGTATACACAGTGCAGAGGTTGTCCTATCATTGAGTCACAGAAAGGGGAATATGCCATTGTAGACAGAGAGTAGATAGATGTTGGGAGACTGTATTGTATGGATGCTCTTAGTGAAATAGGAGGCCAACTCAGGATCGAAGAAATTGTGTCAAACTGTTCTGTGGCAACACTAAACTTTCTGTATATACATTATTCTGTTGCTGAGATAGCAGCCATCCACCTTCTATCTCATAAGAGCTTAAGGGGACATGGATCAAGGGTACAGATTTCATGAGCTGGTTTAGATTTTCTCTGTTGGGGAAATAGACTGTAGCTCAGCATGCACCCCTGAAAATACTGTCTGTGATCATAAGGTCAACGAATCCCAGAAAACACGCCAACACTGTGGAAAGATGATTTGGCCATGCTCCATCCCAAAACTGTGGCCCTAGTGACACCTAGCAGAAATAACCATGGACAGTTGCCAATGATAAAGACGCTGTTTTATTTTCACATTATGCTACGCAGCAAGGTTTCCAGTCCAGCAACTTCCCACCCTCTCAGAAAGTTGCCTTTCCTCACACAGTGAGGTCAGTTTAAGTTGGAGAGGTTGTCCTACAGCAGGATACACACAAAAGAATGGGAGGTGACAGGGAACGAATCTGAGGATACCCACCCAGGTGATGGAAAACCAGTTCCAGCAGCTGGCCTTCACACAGCCCCAAGTGTGGCACATGTATGGAAAAAAAGAGAGGCCCCTGACCACAAGCAGGAAGTAGAAAGAAGCTCGGTGATGTGGGAGAACACCCATAGTGCAAGGAAGAGTCTGGGCTCAGTCAGGCTCCAGGCTACCTCTGACCCACTCATTCAACTGAGACTGAGGGCAGCTTTCTATGACTATAAGCCTGTGTCTTTGACAGAAACATGATAATACTCACTTAGTTGGCTGTCACAAGGATGAAAGGAAAGATTAGGAACCAAGTCTGTGTGTGTAAGGCCCAGTGCCAAAAATAAAGATAGCAATTAAAAGATTCCTAGTGCACAAGAAACAACACTCTTATCCATGCTGTTACTGAAAGCATGGTGTTCTATTTCACTAAGTTTCAAGTTACAAATAAATAAAAATTTTAAAAAATCAAGCTTAACTGTTTCAGCATTGTATCATTTACCAATTAATGTCCAAAGTACCTAGAGCTTCCTGCTGCTGGGGAAGCAAGGAAGAAAACCTTTACAGACTATTACAAAGACACCACTATAACAAAAGACAGATTAGCCAGAGAAACAATACAGCAGATTTATTTGATCATAGTTTTACATGACACAGGAACATTCAGGTTAAAGACACAAGGACCCAGAGTGGACTATCCATTTTGATGCTTAGGTTCAACCAAGAATGGACATCCATGTAGAAACAAATTGAACAAATAGGATGTGATCTAATACTAACACAACGAGAGAAAGCCCTGTCTGTCCCTAGTCAATTCCTTGGCTGTTCTGCAGCTTTTCCTCTTTGCAGGTTCCAGAATGAGAATCTTGTGACTCACAACGAAATGAGGTGAGTCACAGAATTCATGGAGATCTCGTAAAAGATGGGAAAGTTAGTGAGGTTTAATCACTGGGTCCGGGGAAAGGAGATCCTGGTTTCTACACCTTGGAGAAATGGACTCTACCATCTATATTCTAAGGTATGAGTGAAGGATAAGCTATAGGAGATCCCTCTGTCAGATTCAAACTACTAGTGAGGGCTTCCCTTCAGAATGTCATTCTCTGAGCCTCAATACTCTGTGGAAGGCCAACAAATGAGTTGGAGAGGATAAGAAACAGTAAGCAGCCAGGACACTGGGAATACAGTCAGCTGGGTGACTGAAAACAGATTTTGATCCCTAGATGGTCTAGACTATCAATACAGACAAACTCTTAGATGATGCATATACCCTTAAAGAAAGAGCCTATATATGGATGGAACTAGAAGAAAGCATCCTGAGTGAGGTAACCCAGATACAGAAAGACAAAGATGCTATGTACTCACTCATAAGTGGATATTAGACATACAGCAAAGGATAATCAGAATTGTAATTCATAACCCCAGAGAAACTAGGTAACAAACAGGACCCTAAAACAGACACGCATGGATCCATCCACACAGGAAGGGGAAATAAACAAGATCTCCTGAGTAAACTGGGAGCATGAGAGGGAAGAGGGAGGGTGGGAGGAAGAGTGGAGGAAGGAAGGAGAGTGGGAGGTGAACATGAGGGAACAGGGTGGTGGATTTGGGGGAAGAGAGGAAGAGCAAGGAAAGAATTAGCTTGATGGAGGGAGCCATTATGGGATTATCAAGAAATCTGGCACTAGGGAAATATCCAGGAATCCACAATGATGATCCCAAATAAAATAAAATAAGCAATATGGGAGAGGGTGCCTGAATTGGCCTTCCCCTGTAGTCAGATTGAAGACTACTGTAATTGTCAGCATAGAAACCTTCATCCAGAGATCTGTAGCTAAGCACTGTGCAAAGCTTCTATAGTCCAGTCGAAGAGAGGGAGGAACAATAATACGAGCAAAGAAGTCAAGACCGTGATGGGGAAACCCACAGAAACAGCTGACTTGAGCAAGTGGAAGCTCATTGACTCTGGATGACAGCTGGGGAACCTGAACTAGACCCCCTGAATGCAGGTGACAATGGGTGGCTTTGGACAGTTAGTGGGGCCACTGGCAGTAGGATCAGGATCTATCCCTAGTGCATGAGCTGACTTTTCGGAGCCCATTTCCTAGGGAGAAATACCTTGCACAGCCTAGACACAGTGGGGGAGGGCCTTGGTCCTGCCTCAGAGTGGTGATAGGACAGACTTCATTGATTCCCCATGCCTTACCCTCTCTGAGAGGCAAAAGGGAGGTGAAGGGAAGGTGGGGGAGCGGGAGGACAGGAGAAATGGGGAACTGAGATAAGTATGTAAAAAAAAATAAAGCCAGGTGGTGTTGGCACACGCCTTTAATCCCAGCACTCGGGAGGCAGAGACAGACCGATCTCTGTGAGTTCGAGGCCAGTCTGGTCTACAGAGTGAATTCCTGGGCAGGCTCCAAAACTATAGAGAAACCCTGTCTTGAAAAGCCAAAAATAAATAAATAAATAAATAAATAAATAAATAAATAGTCTACTACAGAGCAGGTAGAAAAGACCACCTTAAAGGTGCATACCCTCTCATCAGTACTTATCTTTTTTATTGACCTTGGCCTGTAGTGAGAGATCTTACAAGGTACCTGAGGTGCTGACCATGCCTGTTTGGTTGTGGTCACAGGTGCATACGTGAGCATGTGGAATTTTGGTAGGAGATGAAGGACAGGCTGGCTCTCTCTGAGTTCCAGTAGGGTCTCAGAGGGCAGCTGAGATTGGATGCTCGGATCACTGACCCTGGGTTATCGGTTTCTCGTGTAAGTAATTTACCCCCAATAAAATTAACCCACATCATCCCAATCCCATGTATCGTAATTTGAACTACTACATTGGCCTCTTTGAAGTTCTAAAAAGGCTCAAAAACTTATCACAGAACAAATCACAGACAGAAATATGTATGTAGAATTTATCAATTAAAATGGTGGCCAACAGGGCTGGAGAGATGACTCAACGGCTAAAAGCACTGGACCCCGGTTCAATCCCCCAGCACCCACATGGCAGTTCACAACTGTCTGTAAACTCCAGTTCCAGGGAAATTGACATCCTCATTTATGCATACATGCAGGCAAAACATCAGTGCACATAAAATAAAAACAAAAAATCATTTTTAAATGATGTCACATGTCTGTAATTCTGTAAAGTCAAGTTTCATCAACAAAGCTATTTAAAAATAGGAGTGTGTATTGCAATAGTTCTCATGGGAGTAGGGTCCTTTGTGGTCAGTAGTATTGCTTAAGGATGAAGGCATTTCCAGATCTGTCCTGTGACTTCCAGCAAAGACAGCCAAACTTAGGCTCAGACTTCTTTACAAATCCATTTTCCAATGAGAGAATACACTGAACATATTTAAGAACCAGTGGAGAGCAAGTTTCTGGAATAAGAAAAAAAGAAATGTAAGGGTGGCCTGACCAAAGTGTTCTCCATGTTATGTCATACTGAAGTGTCTATTCAGCAGGACTGGAAGAACTGCTGGTGTCTGTTGTGGGTACAAATATACACATCATCCTCATGAAAAATATGAGTAGCACTTCTTCCATTTGTGAAATGATTTGCAAGTCCCTGTTGCTACTGTTGTCACCTATGCAATCACCATTCTTGCATAAATGGCCACATCTGTTGACTGTTACAAAGTCCTTTCTCAGAACTCAAGGGCATCAATCATGTAGTTTCCTACTGCCCTAACATCTGGTCAGGACTCAATAGGAGAGGCTAATACCTAGTCCCTGGTTCCTGGAACTCAGCTGGGTCTCTCATGGCTCTGACTGAGGGTAAACAGTAACCAGGGGGAAGCTCCATTGGATAATGACAAGGCCAGCCTGAGGTCATTCTGACCAATGAGGGCAAGGACTACTGATACAATTTAGTCCTTGCCCCAAAAGTGGAAGCTGGAATCTCCTGGGCTTTTTGTTGTTTCACTTGAGATGATTCTAGAGGAACTCCCACCTTCTTCTGGTCTATCTTAGCATGACTACATCCCTATTCCACATCCCAGTCAGGGCAAATTCTCTGTAGAAAAGAGTGTTCTTCGCTTGTGACACATGTAAAAAGTAATGGTCATGGGGAATATACACAAAAAACACCTGAAGGCCCACCCCCATAATCTCCCTTAGTCCTGTGGAGCAAGACTGTCAAGAAAATCACCTTAAGAAAAGCTTGGCTGGCTTGGCAGTGGTGGTGCACACCTCTAATCCCAGCACTTGGGAGACAGCGGCAGGCAGATCTCTGTGAGTTCGAGACCAGCCTGGTATACAAGAGCTGGTTCCAGGACAAGTTCCAAAGCCACAGAGAAACCCTGTCTTGAAACAAAACAAAACAAAATACAAAAAAAGAAAAGAAAAGCCTGAAAGATAACTTGATCCACAAGCTTCTGACAGGAGCTTCACTTCTATCTCAGGAGACTAATCTCAAAGATATATTACCTGCATGACAAGTAAGTAGGGGTATCTCTGTTGTGTTTAAGAGCAGAGCTTAAGAGGGCACTGGCAAGCTGAGAGGTAGTGGCACTTGCCTTTAGGCAGGCAACTCTCGGAGTTTGAGGCCAGCCTGGTCTACAGAGAGAGTTCTAGGACGCCCAGGGCTACACAGAAAAACCTTATCTTGAAAAAAAAAGTACTTGAAGGGATGGAAAGATGGCTCTGGGATTAAGAACACTGGCTGCTCTTCTACAGGACTTAGGTTCCCCACACCTACAGGGTAGTTCACAACCATCCATAGCTCCAGACCCAGAGGATCTAATGCCCTCTTTGAGACTCTGGGGGTACTACGCATGCAGGTGGTTCATAGACGTGCAAGCAAAAAACACCCACACACAAAGAATAAAACAATAATAACCATTTTAAGAGGATTCTGGAAAGAGGTACTAGTTGTGACCCAAGAGAGCAAAGAGGCACATGGAGGAGAGAGGATGGGAGCCATCTTTTCTTTTCCTCTCTAGATCTTACTTTCATGTCATCATACATTCTGTTCACAGCTCAGGACCCTCCCAAATCCTCAGTTTCTGGGAATCGGAGCCCAAGTCCACTAAAGGCTCTTCAGTTTCTTATTCAGTCCCCACTCCTCCATGTCTGCATACCTTAGCCTCCTCTGTTGCCCAACAGTGCCCTCCTAAACACTACCAGATGCTCAGTCCCCTGTTTCCCAGAAGCATCCTCCTGGACAATATCAGATGCTTTGTTGTCCCTTGAAATGGACTCTTCCTGTTTTCTACCTAAAATCATATTCCTCTTTTGTTTCTGTATTTCCAGATCTCCACTTTTAATTCCTAGTCAAATAAAGCCTTCCCCATTGTTCTCAGTGAATATAGTTCTCTTCCTCTGTACTAGATGAGTATGAGTGGCTCTGGGCAAACAGTGTCACTCTGTGTGCCTCACTAAAGCTTTTGTGCTACATCCTAAGAGGAACTGTCTTGCTAACCTTGGATTCCTCCAGAAGACCCAGCAAGGACTGGCCAAGCAAAGACAAGATAATGCTGAGTGGATTTCATTATGATTGTTGCCAATTACACTGTCTTACAAATGACTTGCTTCTTTTTCAGACTGATATTGTAGCCAAAACTATGTTAGTAAAGCAAAAGCAAAATGTTCTTCTTTCTCAAAATGTCATATCGGGGAGCACACAAAAGAAAGATCTATTTGACTGGGACCTTTTAAACAACTGGGGCAGAGGAGATTGAACTTTGCCATGCCCTGAATACCAGAGAAGCAGAAGTACTCAGTGACAGCAAAGGAATCAAGCCGCAAGAGTGCATTTCTTAGCAAAAGCCAAGGCCTCGGAACACATGGAGCAGGAAGCTGACAGACACAAATTCAACAAACGGCTCAGTCGACACCACCCTATGCTTGCTACATGCAAGGCCTTCAGCTGAGTTCCAACAATGTGCATGTCAGGGTATTGTTTCACTGACACGATGTTCTCAGCGTTACAGGGTGTCATGGAAACCAATGGAAAGTTGAACTACAGAATGTTAAATTCTGTAATACAAATGACATAACTAATAGCTCAGAGGAAAAGGACATCACCATGGACAAAGAGCAGCCTTGTTGCACACACAGGTGTGTGTCAAGAGCCATGCCTGCCTCTGGTGAGCTGAGGCATGGACTCCAGGTATGGATGCACTGCCATGACTGGGCAGCTTCAAGTCACAGCAGCTTGGGCCTGCCTGGGGAGCTCAAGTAAGGACTCCAGGGTGCTCATGCATTTCAAGAACCGAACAGAATTCAGACTGCAGTGGGTTTAAGTACTAGCTTAGAAGCTTAAGACTGGATGAAAAACAAGGAGAGCATCTGAGGATTTAAAGCAGGATAACGATACGGCTAGCTCTGCATTTAACATAGGATGGATTGTACTATCTGTAGTGGATTGGTCCCTGGGTATACTCATTGCTTTTCTTGTTGCTGTGACCAAGTAACTGACAAGAAGCAGTTTAAGGAAGAAAATGCTGATTTTGGCTTACAGTTCCAGGAAGATAGCCTCCATCACACTGAGGAAGTCATGGCAGTAGTCACATTCCATCTACAGTCAGCAAGCAGAGTGAACAAGAAGCAGCACAGGAAACCTCAAGGCCCATCCAGAAGTGATTTCCTTACTCCAGGAAGACTCCCACCTCCTAAAAGTTCCACAATCTTCCAAAACAGAGCTGCCAGCTGGGAACCCAGTTTCCAAAACTGTGGAGGACATTTCACATTCAACCCACAACTGGGGAAACGGAAATCAGGAATATTTTTAATCAGTATTATTGAGATATAATTACAAAAGCTGAAATCCAGTGAGAGGGTATACTTCAAGGAGTTTTGACAAATGCAACATATATTTAAGTATCCTTACCAAAATGTAAATTATTTCCATCACCTAAAAATGTTCTTTTAGGCTCCTTTATATTCAATCTTTCCAAGCACCTGGCCATAAGCAACCACTGGTCTGCCAAGAACAATAATACATCAGTTTTTCCTATACTAGAATTTGATATTAATGAAACTCACCAGTATAGCCTCTTCTCACTTTCACTTAGCATAGATCTTTGAGATCCATTCATGCCTCTGCTTACATTTGTGTTTCTTTTTATAACTGAGTGGTATCTCTTAGTGTATGGCTCTTCCATGGTTTATTTATTCTTTCTCACACTGATAGAACTTGGATTGTCCACAGATTTGTGTTCTTATCAATCATTACTATAACTGCTCACATGTAGATTTTTTAATAAACATGGGTATTTAGATGTTGTGTGTGATAGTTTGAATGTGATTGGCCTCCGTAAGCTAATAGTGAATGGCACAATTGGGAAGTGTGGCTTTGCTGAAGTAGGCATGACCTTGTTGGAGGAAGTGTGTCACTGTGGAGGTGGGCTTTGAGGTCTCAAGCCATGCCAATAACTCAGTTCACTTCCTGCTGCCTACATATCAAGATATAAAACTCTTCAGCTCCTTCTCTGGCACCATGTGTTCGTTCATACTACTATGTCCCACCATGATGAACCATGATGATACAGTCTGAATTCCAAGCCACCCAATTAAACATTCTCCTTTATAAGAGTTGGCATTGTCTAGAAACATTAAGCCAGATGTTGGTACCAGGGACTGGGGTATTGCTATGAGAGGCCCGTCCATGTTTTTGTGTTGCAGAGTATTTGTTTAACTATATAAAGATGTGTTGCATTTGTTTAATTATATAAAGATGTATTGCTATTTTATCTTGCCTGCCTAAGGCACCTGATTGATCTAATAAAAAGTTGAATGCCCTACAAATGGACTTTGGGTGGCCATCCAACAATAAGAGATGCACTCTCACCATGGACTCTTGGGGGAGGGTCTAGGCCCTGCCCTGGATGAAATGACAGACTATGGACACTCCCCAGTCCCCTTCCAGTCACTGGCGACCTGTAGCCACCACTTACAGTGGAGACCTAGGTAAGTCTAGCTCTCAGTTCTCATCAAACAAGCTTCTTTAAGCAGTAGATGAAAACTATCATAGAAAGTCACAACTGGCCAAAATGCAGAGAACATTTACAGTTACACATCTATTGGCAGACATGAGGTTTACATTGAGACTCTGTCTGACTAATATTTGAAAAGCTGCCATGCAAACCTAAGGTGTGAAAAGTAAACAAGATAATGTGTGCTTTAGGCTAAGAGAAAGTTCCTAACAGAAGCATGACTTGAGGTTAGCAGCATGACACAATTTGAGGTGTTACATGACAAGCAGATATGCAAGGACTGGGTGTCAGGAAGGCTTTTTAAGTAGAAAAACTTCATGGCAAAATATGCAGAATACAAAATGCCTCACTTTAGGGAGTTAGCAGTGTAACTCACTGATACAGTGCTTGCCTGTGAAGTGCAAGAGACCAGGTTTGATTCCCCTGCCCCAGCACTAGAATAA